AGATAATGTAATCTTGTTAAAATTGATTTCATAAAATTGGTATCGAAAAAAGTATCGTTCAGGAACCGGTATCGAAGTCAAGGTATCGGTATCGAACATTTTTGAACGATACCCAGCCCTACTTACCAGTGGCAATAAATCCTCTTACCTTTGACGCAGTTAGACATAACAGAGAATGATACGTTTGTAACACCTATTTGTACACCCAGGATTTTCTTTTTTCTACATGTTTCACATTGTTCATTCAATTCCCTGGGATGGGAATTTACATGGTATGCCTTTGCAACCTCCAATTTAGGGTTAGCTTATAACCTAAGGCTGGTTATGCTGACTGATGTACAAGTGTGAATACACAGCTTAGCACAGGGTTAAAAGTGGCCTTTAAATGGGGATAAAGAAGATTATGCAGGATTAAACTCAGGATGAAAATCTCTGAATTTAATTCACGAACTCAGAAAGTGCACAGAATATAGGCCATTGTTTTGAGGTATTTTAACACCCACACAGGAAAGGATTTAAACAGATGAAAGGATTACAGAGCCAGATCTTGAAAATCCACCTAAATAGGCGTCTGTGCATACCAGTTAACCTATCCATCTGAAAATGCCGAAAACCTCTTCAACTGGTGAGGATGGTGCTGTGCTTACAAACAAAAAGAGCAATAAGTAGACCTAAAAATGCCTTAATTAAAATGGAAAAATGCCTGAAGGTGTCTGCATGATATGAAAGCATGTTTCTGCTTCAGAATAAAAAATAAAGTAACTGTTACCTTATTTATATACAGTGGGTACGGAAAGTATTCAGACCCCCTTAAATTTTTCACTCTTTGTTATATTGCAGCCATTTGCTAAAATCATTTAAGTTAATTTTTTTTTCCTCATTAATGTACACACAGCACCCCATATTGACAGAAAAACACAGAATTGTTGACATCTTTGCAGATTTATTAAAAAAGAAAAACTGAAAAATGCTCAGTATTTAGTAGAAGCACCCTTTTGATCTAATACAGCCATGAGTCTTTGGGAAAGATGCAACAAGTTTTTCACACATGGATTTGGGGATCCTCTGCCATTCCTCCTTGCAGATCCTCTCCAGTTCTATCAGGTTGGATGGTAAACGTTGGTGGACAGCCATTTTTAGGTCTCTCCAGAGATGCTCAACTGGGTTTAAGTCAGGGCTCTGGCTGGGCCATTCAAGAACAGTCACAGAGTTGTTGTGAAGCCACTCCTTCGTTATTTTAGCTGTGTGCTTAGGGTCATTGTCTTGTTGGAAGGTAAACCTTAGTTCCAGTCTGAGGTCCTGAGCACTCTGGAGAAGGTTTTCGTCCAGGATATCCCTGTACTTGGCCACATTCATCTTTCCCTCGATCGCAACCAGTCGTCCTGTCCCTGCAGCTGAAAAACACCCCCACAGCATGATGCTGCCACCACCATGCTTCACTGTTGGGACAGGTGATGAGCAGTGCCTGGTTTTCTCCACACAAACCGCTTAGAATTAAGGCCAAAAAGTTCTATCTTGGTCTCATCAGACCAGAGAATCTTATTTCTCACCATCTTGGAGTCCTTCAGGTGTTTTTTTAGCAAACTCCATGCGGGCTTTCATGTGTCTTGAACTGAGGAGAGGCTTCCGTCGGGCCACTCTGCCATAAAGCCCCAACTGGTGGAGGGCTGCAGTGATGGTTGACTTTCTACAACTTTCTCCCATCTCCCGACTGCATCTCTGGAGCTCAGCCACAGTGATCTTTGGGTTCTTCTTTACCTCTCTCACCAAGGCTCTTCTCCCCCGATAGCTCAGTTTGGCCAGACGGCCAGCTCTAGGAAGGGTTCTGGTCATCCCAAACGTCTTCCATTTAAGGATTATGGAGGCCACTGTGCTCTTAGGAACCTTAAGTGCAGCAGAAATTTTTCTGTAACCTTGGCCAGATCTGTGCCTTGCCACAATTCTGTCTCTGAGCTCTTCAGGCAATTCCTTTGACCTCATGATTCTCATTTGCTCTGACATGCACTGTGAGCTGTAAGGTCTTATATAGACAGGTGTGTGGCTTTCCTAATCAAGTCCAATCAGTATAATCAAACACAGCTGGACTCAAATGAAGGTGTAGAACCATCTCAAGGATGATCAGAAGAAATGGACAGCACCTGAGTTAAATATATGAGTGTCACAGCAAAGGGTCTGAATACTTAGGACCATGTGATATTTCAGTTTTTCTTTTTTAATAAATCTGCAAAAATGTCAACAAATCTGTGTTTTTCTGTCAATATGGGGTGCTATGTGTACATTAATGAGGAAAAAAAATTAACAAATGATTTTAGCAAATGGCTGCAATATAACAAAAGAGTGAAAAATTTAAGGGGGTCTGAATACTTTCCGTACCCACTGTAACCTCTAAATATGGTGGTTTTTTTCTGGCGGTATTTTGTGATTTATGGAGCGATTAAAAGAGAGATCCCCTCAGTAAAAGCCTTTAACTCTAATATGTAAAAAAAAAATTGGACCAGGCTTTATGCAATGTTCAGTTTATTATTCTGGAAATATATGCAAATGAGTGCATATTTAATTAGATAATGCAACGTTTGCATATGTGAACATAATGTTACAGAAAACTTAAAGGCTTCATTTGGCCAAAAAATTTAAATTGTCATCATTTCCTTACATCAAGTTGTTCCAAACCTGTATGAGTTTCTTTCTTCTGCTGTGACACTCATATATTTAACTCAGGTGCTGTCCATTTGTTCTGATCATCCTTGAGATGGTTCTACACCTTCATTTGAGTCCAGCTGTGTTTGATTATACTGATTGGACTTGATTAGGAAAGCCACACACCTGTCTATATAAGACCTTACAGCTCACAGTGCATGTCAGAGCAAATGAGAATCATGAGGTCAAAGGAACTGCCTGAAGAGCTCAGAGACAGAATTGTGGCAAGGCACAGATCTGGCCAAGGTTACAAAAAAATTTCTGTTGCACTTAAGGTTCCTAAGAGCACAGTGGCCTCCATAATCCTTAAATGGAAGACGTTTGGGATGACCAGAACCCTTCCTAGAGCTGGCCGTCTGGCCAAACTGAGCTATCGGGGGAGAAGAGCCTTGGTGAGAGAGGTAAAGAAGAACCCAAAGATCACTGTGGCTGAGCTCCAGAGATGCAGTCGGGAGATGGGAGAAAGTTGTAGAAAGTCAACCATCACTGCAGCCCTCCACCAGTCGGGGCTTTATGGCAGAGTGGCCCGACGGAAGCCTCTCCTCAGTGCAAGACACATGAAAGCCTGCATGGAGTTTGCTAAAAAACACCTGAAGGACTCCGAGATGGTGAGAAATAAGATTCTCTGGTCTGATGAGACCAAGATAGAACTTTTTGGCCTTAATTCTAAGTGGTATGTGTGGAGAAAACCAGGCACCTGTCCAATACAGTCCCAACAGTGAAGCATGGTGGTGGCAGCATCATGCTGTGGGGGTGTTTTTCAGCTGCAGGGACAGGACGACTGGTTGCAATCGAGGGAAAGATGAATGCGGCCAAGTACAGGGATATCCTGGGCGAAAACCTTCTCCAGAGTGCTCAGGACCTCAGACTGGAACTAAGGTTTACCTTCCAACAAGACAATGACCCTAAGCAGACAGCTAAAATAACGAAGGAGTGGCTTCACAACGACTCTGTGACTGTTCTTGAATGGCCCAGCCAGATCCCTGACTTAAACCCAATTGAGCATCTCTGGAGAGACCTAAAAATGGCTGTCCACCAACGTTTACCATCCAACCTGATAGAACTGGAGAGGATCTGCAAGGAGGAATGGCAGAGGATTCCCAAATCCAGGTGTGAAAAACTTGTTGCGTCTTTCCCAAAAAGACTCATGGCTGTATTAGATCAAATGGGTGCTTCTACTAAATACTGAGCATTTTTCAGTTTTTCTTTTTTAATAAATCTGCAAAGATGTCAACAATTCTGTGTTTTTCTGTCAATATGGGGTGCTGTGTGTACATTAATGAGGAAAAAAAATTAACTTAAATGATTTTAGCAAATGGCTGCAATATAACAAAGAGTGAAAAATTTAAGGGGGTCTGAATACTTTCCGTACCCACTGTATATTTACACTTTTTTTTTTTTTATTGAATTCCAAGAATACAAAAAATTCAGTAGGTTCTCAATATATATTTAACAAACTTTGTAAATGCGAATAAGGACACATAAGGAAGAATGTAATTAAAACTAAATTAAATGTATTAAAACTATTAAAAAAAAAATTATGTTTTTTTTAATTGGACAACCTTACTGCCCAGCCACATCTCATCAAGGATGAGATGTCATTATGAGAGGGAGGGGACTTTAATATTTTTTATTAAAAATTGTGAGTGCAAGTGAATAAAATAATAATGATGATATGATAAATACTGAAATATACCCTAAAGAAATAAGTAAAGGAAAAGGAAAGGATGTGACGTGTGGCCAAGTATGGTGTCCCATACTTGGAATTTGTGCTCTGCATTTAACCCATTCAAGTGCACACACACAGCAGTGAGTAGTGAGTAGTGAACAAACACACACACACACACACACACACACACACACACCGTGAACACACACCCGGAGCAGTGGCAGCCAATGCTGTGGCGCCTGGGGAGCAGATGGGGGTTCGGTGCCTTGCTCAAGAGCCTCACCTCAGTCGTGGTATTAAGATATTCCACTTGTTTAGATATTTTATTCAATAATGAAGCGTTTTTCATCAGAACTGACTTCACTTTTATAAACAGTTTTGCATTACTCTAATCAAACAATCAAAGTGACTTTTAGGGTATGTTTTGCTTGAAAACTGTGCTTGTGCTGTCTTCAAAAATAAATGGCCATTTAAAAAAAAAAATTTCCCCTAATGTAATGAAACTCGTACATTAAGTGTCAAAATATTTCTGGGGACACTGTACAAGTTTGCTGTGTGGAAAGTCACTCATCACTATGTACTAAATGTCATGCATGCATTGAATGGTGTGATGTTCTTACCTCCCATCGACCGTAGGTCAGCAGGAACAGGCTCAAGGGTATGGCGGTACCGGACATGGCATGCGTGGAGGGCATGCTGTACTCCGAGTTGTAAAACATCTCCACCTTGACCACCGGGGGCGAGGCAGGTCTCGGCCAGCGGATCACATCTTTCGTGCACTGGCCGAGATACATGACCCACACCCAGACGACGACTAACCGGCGGCTCACATACGCGTCCACGTTCCACATGAAGAACGGGAAGAATGAAATGTAGAACAGCTCGTTCCCAAGCTCGGTACCAAGCGTGAACAGGTAGTAAAGAAACGTATTGTCGATTTTGAACTCCTGCCCGACGTCTCCGGTGAGAGAGTTTCTTCGCAACGGCTTTACCGCGGATTCTTGAGCCTCGACCCCGTCTTTATCCCGTGCCTGCCTGTTGACGTTTTCTCCCGCAGCCCCGTTCGCCACGCAGTTATTGCCTTTCTCCCTGTCGCTCTCTACTCCTGCTGTTCTACAGCGGGTGGCATCCCCGCCTCCGTTCTGAACATCCCCGTGGCGAGTGCTTGGCACCCCGTTACGGAGTCTGTCACGCGGTTCGGTCCCGCGCACCCCGCACAGCCGTTGGAAGCGCGCGACGTGCTGAGGGTCCAGCAAATATTGCATGAGACGAACGAATCCCGCTTTCAACCCGCCTGCCATGTCCAGCGACAAACTGCGCAAGTTGAATCCGCCCGGTAAGACCAGGAGAGGCTTGAGCTGCTGAGAATGAACCGTGCTGTGGGTTATTAAACCTTATTAAACCACTTCCTCCATTGCTGTGCTTATAATAACAAAACGCCCATTCTAACCAAGACAAATAGACTTATAACAGCTGTTAATGTTATTGCTGGACATATGAAGAGAAACTGAACCCAAAAAAACTACTTGCAACGATTTACAAACCTACCCCCACGCCGTATCCGGTGTTGTGTAATATTCAGTTCCTGTGAAAAACTGTTCCAGTGGGTGGAGTAAACATTAATATTCATTATGTTCCCATATTGTGGGCGTGTCCTAGAGACAACACGCAAAAGAATGGAACTGAAAATATTAGTGCACGCTCTTCAAATCGCAACTTGTTTAATGGATTATTTAGAAAAGGTAACGAAGTTTCAATGTGAAGAATTCACTGCAACAGTGTCAAAACAATGCATAAGTTTGTGTAATATGATAAATCGTCTGAGCTGTTCTGCCTGAATGATTGCAGGCACACAGCAGAACAAACAAGAAGCGAATAACCTGTGCTTAACCAGGCTAATATAGTTTTTACTCTTTGATGTGACTAGCGACCTCTCCTGGTTGGAGATAGTATTAACATCATAAACCAAAAGCTATCTTTATGTGACTTGCTTTTCAAATGTTTTCAAATTGATCATCCGAGTCTAATATGATCCAGCGTATACGGCCCGCGGGCCGCCAGTTGCCCATCCCTGGATCACAGGCACACAGCAGAGCAAACAAGCGAATGCTTAACCATTAACCATGCTAATATAGTTTTTACTCTTTGATGTGCTAAGCTTTTTATTTCATTTGTGAGACAAATTTTTGTTTGAATAATTTGATTAGTAGCCTACCTAGTTGTCATTGGTGACTAGTACAGTGTGCTTACAGCAGTGCTTGAAATAAACCTCTACAAATGTATCTGTGGCCTAATAAAATGTATGCACGTTAGTCTGTTGGAGTATCCTGTGTCATTCTTAATTTCTTGTTTATTTTGTATATAGCCAGTATTACTGTTACCTATATAAGCTACATACCTACTGAGAATTTTTTTTTTTTGTAGTTAAAATGCTAATCATTATAACAAACATTGCAGTTTGTAATTGATTAAATAATACAGTGCATAAACCTTTAAAGCACTGTTATGATGGCACAGTCTTCTTGGACATAGGTCAGCAGCTACTCCAAGAATATTATTTTATTTTTATTTTAAGAAATCATACATAGGCCTATGTCATCATCACCAATGTCATAATATGGCTTTGTTTTGCTTTTGTGATGTTTCCACATATATTGATCTTCGTGTAAAGTCACTGGTTCAGATGTGAGAGTCACTGGTAGCTGATCACTGTGTGAATGAACTTTTCCACGACATTCTAATTTATTGAGATGCACCTGTACATGGAGGCTGTTTTAATAATTATCTCAGACTCCAGACACTCACTTAATTTTGCATTGCTTTATTCCATATACACATATTGTTTTGAAAGTTTCCTCGTCTTTTCAATTTGAGTTATATTCATAAAGCAATTACTTCCGTACTTTTAGTAACATTTAATGAATGTAACTAATATTTATATAAGCTACTACAATAGAATTTTTATGTTTTTAATTTGCTATAAAGAGTCAAAATAAAAGACTAAATACTAAAAAAGATAACATTTTATTTGTTAACCTGCATGTCATGTTACTATTAACCGACATCAGAGAACTGTGAACATGAAAGTGTGTTCTTAAAGTACTGAAATATATACTAAATTTTAATTATTCTCAGAAGATATTAATCTCTGGATGAGTTGGGAGAACAGAGTTTGGCTGACAAAAATGTTTGGGAATCCCTGTCCAACAGTGTTGAAGATCAGAAATGGTTTCATTGTGTGTATGTATATACACACAGTAGTCAACATTTGAAGTGGATCAAAGAAGTTCATCAAAGTTGTCCTAAGACAAGAACACATTTTGGTTTTAAGTTTTAGGACAACTTTGATGAAAGGTTTGATCCACTTCAAATGTTGACTAGTGTATACTTGAAAAATGAGAAAAACACTTTTGAATAAGATTTTCAGATGTTAAGCATGATTAACACAACACTGTGGATCATGATATTTTGGATGCTTTCACACACCATTCTTAAACATGACATGAAAGTAGGTTGTTTTTCAGTGCAACATATGGTCAAAGAACAGACACATTTTAAAGGGACAGTTCATTCAAAAATAAAAATTAACTCACTCTCCTGTTGTTTCAAGGTTGTATGACTCATTCTTCTGTAGAAGACAGTTTGAGAAATAATGACAGAGTTGTCATTTTTGGGTGCACTTATACCTTTAATCTATTAGTGCTTGGAGATTGGTGATTCCCAAACAGGTGAATGTGGAAAGATTTTGATGTTTTTTTTAATAAATAAAAAAACTTAAAAATATTAATAATAAAAAAGAAATATGTGACATATTTGCACATTAAATGCACATTTACTTGTAAGACATTAATAATTCCACATGATATCCATATAATATGAAGAAGAAAAAAAGAACAGGATACTCACACCAGTTTTGCTTATATACATTTTATTAGGCCACAGATACATTTGTAGAGGTTTATTTCAAGCACTGTTGTAAGCACACTGCAGTACTAGTCACCAATGACAACTAGGTAGGCTACTAATCAAACTATTCAATCAAAATTTAGTCTCACAAATGAAATTAAAAGCTTAGCACATCAAAGAGTAAAAACTATATTAGCCTGGGTTAGCACAGGTATTCGCTTGCTTGCTCTGCTGTGTGCCTGTAATCATTCAGGCAGAACAGCTCAGACGATTTATCATATAACACAAACTATGCATTGTTTTGACACTGTTGCATTTATTTATTCACATTGAAACTTTGTTACCTTTTCGAAAGTTCTCAAGGACACGCCCACAATATGAGAACTAATTAATATTCATGTAACCCCACCCACTGGAACAGTTTTTCACAGGAACTGAATATTAAACAACACCTGGGCTGCGTTCAGCCCCGACAAAAACGGTGCAAAACGTTTTTTAAACGGAAACGGTGGTGCGTTAGAAGAGACTCTCGCGGCACATCTCGCGCCAAACTCCGCTCCGTCTCGGAAGTCACGCCCTCTGCTGCCGTCCAAGCCGTCTAGGGTTAATTCCGCTTTGATCGGAAAATCTTACATGGCCGCTCAGACGAGCTACTGACTTGGCGCTTAGGGCTACCAAGCATACAGCTCGGGCAGTGGGCAGGTCCATGGCAGGGTTAGTGTCAGCTGAGCGCCATCTTTGGCTTACTCTCACTGACATTAAGGAGAAGGACAGGACTTTTCTCCTGGACGCCCCCATTTCGAGTGACGGTCTATTCGGAGATTTGGTCACTACGGTCGTGGAGAAGTTTCGAGCAGCGAAACAGCAGTCCGCTGCGTTCCGTCAGCTCATCCCTCGCAGGGCCAGGGAAGTAGAGAGTCAGCCACCGGTGGTTCGTTCACGCTCGTCGTCTTTACAGCACCGCGAGGTCCAGCGGCATGAGCCATCGCCTAAGTTACCCCCTCGTAAGGACTGGGGTCCTAGGTCTCGCCCACCGGCTCACCCACGACAACGCAAGCGGTTAGACCTGAGTTCGACGGCCAAGTCCTCTCGTCCTCAGGCTCCTAATAGCAGTTCCTGATTCCTCTGCTCGTCTTCGGAGGCCAGGCCCTCCTTTAGAGAGAGTGTACGAACCGCACAAGCGTATTCGACTCTCTCGCTGTGGCCTCCCGACTCCGATCTTAACGGTCCCGCCGCATATTGCGCCTCGGGCAGTTTTAGATCGAGTCCTTATGACGAGCACCCCCACTCCGATCTTGACGGTCCCGCCGCATATTGCGCCTCGGGCAGTTTTAGATCGAGTCCTTATGACGAGCACCCCCTCGGATACTCTGCGCGTTCCAGCTTTCATAGTTCGAGAGAAAGCCCAAGGGTCATGCGAGCATGGCCCGTTTATGACGCACTGCCCTATAGGTTCAGTACTGGAGTTTCTTCAGAGTCGTTTCTCTGAAGGGGTTAACCCCACCACTCTTAAAGTGTACGTGGCGGCCATATCGGTGGGACATGCACTCGTAGGAGGTGTTTCGGTTGGTCGTCACACCCTAGTGTCACGTTTTATGCAGGGTTCGGGACGGCTTAGGCCTTTCGGCCCAGCCCGAGTTCCTTCTTGGGACTTATCGATTGTGTTGGAGGGCCTGACAGGCCATCCCTTTGAACCAATGGAGTCGGTGTCAGAGAAGTTACTGACCATTAAGACCGTTCTTTTGGTGGCTTTATCCTCCCTTAAGAGGGTAGGGGACCTGCAGGCTCTCTCCATTAGTCCTTCGTGTATGGACTTTGCACCAGGACTGGTAAAAGTCTTTTTGCGACCTAGGCCTGATTATGTTCCGAAGGTCGCTTCA